GGGACGGGCGTGCGCGAGGCGCCTCCCCGGCCGGCAGAGAAGCGCGCGCTGCTGTCTGGGCGGCGAGTCGCGCTAGGCCCCCTTCTTCACGCAGCACGAAGAAGAGATGATAGGCAAGCTACAGTCACTCAGACCGGAGTCTGTGACGGACATTTTCTGAAGAACAAAGCAAGCTTATCCCGTCAAGATAAAGAATGACAGCATTTGTTGCCAATGATAAAATTTGAACTTGCAAGTGAAAGTAAGAATTTCGAACACGTGTATCCACCACGAGGAGCCTGACGGCTTCTCAACAGAGACTCCTGCAAGTGAGAAAAAGTGAGAAAGAAGATCTCCTGCTGCTGCATGCCGCCGTGTGTCAGCATCTGGAGACCTGCACAGCTCGGGGAACCAAGACATCATAAAATCACACGCGGGTGAAGAGCGGTTAATGCGCAAAATAAGCTGAAACATCCTAACGTAAAACGGCATGAAGTGGTCTCTGACCCAGCTTCAGAGCCCACGTCACAAGTAGCCTTGAACAAACTACTGCTTGTTGAGTTTCGGTATAGTGTCAAAGGGTATGCACAATACCTGAAAAGGCACTAACATACTCTCCTCTTCCACGCACACGTGTGTGTCAGGCCAGACTGTGTGCGCTTCCACTAAAACAATGTTTCACAACAACCTGCAGGCAGAAATGGACGTGAGACCCCAGCTCGCTTCCGTTAAGCCTGATACTGAAGAGCCTCGTATAAATATAAAACAATGCTACTCTTTCGTGGATTATCTCGTTTTGGTAAATGCAGTTACATTTCATAAACATATTAATAAATCTCTTTAAAAACCTTTTTAAAGTTTTAAATTCTAATATAATAAATATCTACAGATATAACTACATTATAAAAGCACTTTGGGGTCCTCAATATATATTTTGAGACCAAAAAGTTCTAAGGAAAAATGTTCAAGAAGCGCTGGTCTGTGAAACTCCCCAGCCTAATTTTCTACAAGGCTACAAGACCCTCCAGAGAAAGATTCTGAGGCCACCCTCCTCTAACTACCAAAGCTCTCATAATTCTAGACTAGTAGGCAGAGAAATGGCAAATGAGTTCAGAGGCGACGTGGCGTAGGATGCTCCCTTTTCCTAACTGGGTAACTTCCGAAGCTTCCCTCTCTGAAATGAAGAGGCTTTGCTAAGTTAGCCTTTAAGATCTTTTTCATTAGTTTGACACAACATTGTAAAATGACTATAACTCAATTAAAAAATGTTAAATAAAATAAAGTAAAATAAAAGAGCAGAGAAACCAGCAGAGCCAACTTAGACTTCTGACTTACATAACAGTGAGATAATAAATTTCTGTTGTTTTAAGCTGCAAAAAAAAAAAAAAGAATCTGAACACTGGAATTTGACACAACATTGTAAAATGATTATAAATCAATAAAAAATGTTAAAAAAAGATCTTTTTCATTAGGAAAACAATTTCTTGATGATTCTAAATAGAAAATAATCTCATCTATACTCTGAAGATGATGGGTGGCCAGCATTATTCATAATACTAGAGACAACTCAATGGCCATTGATGGATGAATGGATAAATGAAATGTAGTCCATCCACACAGTGGTATCTTATTCAGCCTGAAAAAAGAAGGAAGCTCTGACACTTGCTATGACACAGAGGAACCCTGAGGACATGATGCTGAGTGAAATAAGCCAATCACAAAAGGCCAAATCCTGTATGATTCCACTTATACGAGGTCCCTAGAGTTGTCAAACTCATAGAGACGGGAGGACGGTAGATGGCAGGTGCTGGGGTTGAGTGGACAGGGAGTTAGTGTTTGATGGGGACAGAGTTACAGTGGGGAAGACAGAAGTTCTGGAGGTGAGGGTGGTGGTGATGGTTGCAGTACAATGTGAATGGACTTAATGACACTGAATTGTATACTCAAAAGGGTTTAAAACAGTAAAATTTATGCTACGTATCTTTCACCACCATAAAAACAGTATCAACCATGTCCCAAAAAGGGCTGCTAAAAGCTATAAGCAAAAATGTTTAAGATGTTTATGGGTCTATGTTAAACTCAAAGTACCCATCCTCCCTCCTGATTCGTATACTCTATTATTAAATGCTTCTCTTGTAGCCAAATTATATTATCCTGCAGGATTCCACCTGGGTTCCACCTACAGCATCAAAATATCTGAAGAGAACCAAAGACTGCCATCTGTCCCAACTCATCCTAAGCCTGAGCTTCCCTTACAGAGTTCCCGCTGAGGTTTTATGCAGGTCCCTCCAGGCCGGGTCCCTGCCTGGCCTGTACCCCCAGCTCAGAAAGCAGCCCCCTTAACCATTAGGTGGACTCTTGGCAGCCGTATGTATACCACCAGGCCCTGCAGGCCACCTCCCGCTCCCACGTCATAATTAATTGGACCACCTTAACCCAAGCTGGTCAATCAGATTCTCTCTCTTGTATACACTGCCTGGACCAGGAATGCTCAGTCAGTTGAGAGCTCTTGACCAGAAGACACATGAACTCAGGAGCTACGGAGCCACCATGTTTAGGCACGTGTGCGCCAGTGGGTGAAAGTCACTAATGGAGAAAGAAAGAATAAAGTGAATACCCGGCGCACACAGAGATACACCCAGAGGGGAGCGGGGAAGCATCAGACAGACAGGGCACTGAGCGGACTCCTGAGACCTTCCTGGACTTTTTTCAGTTGCCTGTGAAACCGGGCCGCACTTGAGTTCCACAAGACACCTGCATCCTTCTAATAAGTTTTCATTTCATTGTTTATTAAGCTACAGTGTGGTTTTCGCCTGAAACTGTAACCAAAAGATAGATTCTCAAAGCGAAGCTCTTTGCACCTCAGACCGCAAAACATCCCCAAATCAGAGAGTTGTCATTGTTAGAGAGGTCCCCCCTTTCCAGAATTTGCACAGACTAAACAAACCACATTTTACCTTAACAGTCCCTTCGAACTCATGCCTAGACTCACATCCCCTCTCTCCCAGCCTTCCCTAAGTCAATATCCCCAACAGGCTCCTCCCTACTAAAGTCTGAAATTACTAAATCCATTCATCTTGTACCAGCTGTACTGATAACTGGGGGCTTAGTGACCTTAAGGTTTCTTTTTGCTTTTGTCTTTTCCTCAAAATAGCTAGTCAGCTGGTTAAGGGCAGGCACGAGGCTCTGCTAGTCTCTGACAGCTTCTAGCGCCTAGAGAACCTGTTACATAAAAGGCGTTGTCTGGGCATTTACACATGACACTATCTAATCCTCAAAATAATGCTGCGAAGACACGATCGTCCCCATGTATGGGGGAATAAGAAGCCAGGGCCACTTTGTTTGCTTTTCTTTAAGCAAATCCTTACACAGCAGTCAGAAGCATCGGGCACTGTTCCAGTCCCTTTACACGTATGACTTCATGTGTGTTCCCAACAACCCTATGAGGTAGAAGCTGGCCTTGTGCCCATTTTACAGGTGAAGAAACTAAGGCTCAGAGAGGTTGCCTAAGGTTACTAAGTGAGCAAGTGGCTAAGTCTCTCCAGTTAATCATTTGCTCACAGCCATCCCGCTAGAACATAACAAAGAATCTGAACACAGATCTGAGTCCAAAGGCCCTGCTTTGACCATTTTATGATAATTACTCTATGGATTATTTTCTAAGATAAGCCTGGCCTGGTGAGTGGCTGTGGCCAATTTTTTTTATGGGCAATAGAATGGTCAAATAAAACTAAGAACACTGGTCCCAGAAAAAATGAGGAAGATGAACAGGAAGTTTCTCCAGAGCCTACATCGTGCCTCCGAGAGCATTATGACCGTGTGCTGAGCCGTCCAGCTCCCCCACTGGACTGCC